CCTTCTCCACGGTTTTGCCTTCTCCATTGTTTTGCCTTTGCCAGGGTTTTGTCTTCTCCGCGTTATTGCCTTCATCACGATTTTGCCTTCTCCCCTCTTTTGTCTTTTCCACGGTTTTAGATTCTAACCAGTTTTACATTCTTCCCGGGATTGTATTCAGAGTAGGTAGCTCAGTCAAACTTACCATTTGATCCATATAGAAAAAGAGAAGAGATGGATTCATAAATTTGTCAAGGACATTTCACACAGACATGGATGTCTTTTTAATGCCATATCCTATAAGGACATAAGCTATCCTTGCTTTCGATAGACTTCTTTTCTTGAATATTTGTGAACTGCCTTGACTTCTTGGGAAATGAATTTCCGTTGCCCTCTCTACGGTTTCAAATTCAGAATTGTCTTTTTCTTAGACTCGATACTAGCAAAGTCTTCTCTGCTACTTAATTTAAAGGAGAAAATAGAGAATCATGATTTTTTCAAAGGCAATTGTGAGAAAGTGAATTCAATCATCTAAGCGAAAATTTGAATTTGGTTCCACAGTGTATTACAATACATCAATACGCCAGATAAAGGAAAATGTATGTAAAATGATGGAAAATACAAATCAAAAGCTTAGAAGACATTATATAGATTGCATGCCAACCTACTCTTTAATAATGCGCATGCAAAATGGATTTCTTTTCCGTTTATTTCATAACAAGCATCGTGTAATTAAAAATTACTGACTGATTAAAATTTACGGCTTATAATGAGAAATCGGAGAACGGAGTTCGAATCCCATGTTCTTTTTATTCGTTTACATGCTGATGTCCTTGAGAAAGATATGAGTCTTTCATCTCCCACCACAGTGTTAAATACCAGGATTTGGATTTGGATAATTCATTTTCGACAAGATACTTTCGCTGATTCCCAAATTGGATGAATTTAAATGTGCTACTAGGTTGGCATCTCAGTCCCACCCTTTCACGGTTAAATGTAGCCGTCTCTTCTACTCCAGTAGCTTCCCAATGTGTCGCACTTCTCGTCAGTGGAGCTCTTTTCCTTTTACTTGCTTCCTGATAGCTATAATATATTCAAATGCAATGTCAATCGACATCTCCAGATGATTTATTTCTCGTCCTTCTCTTCATCCTTTCCTCTGTCAGGCCTCTTTACTCTCGCATCCACTCTCTGTAACCCCCCTGCGTGCTAGTGGCACTCACGCCTTGGCTTGGGGTAAAATACTTTAAAAAATCTACACTCTAAAAAATATTATTTTCAAAATCCAAAAAATGTGGTTCTGCTTTAAATAACCTACGAAAGGGTGATAATCCGTAAAAAAAAATCAATTTATCTTGATATGCAATTATTTATTCATTCAGTATACAAACAGTTTATGATTTTTAGTATCCACTACTTGTCTCACTACATATGAACTCACGTCATATTGTTAGGTGAACAATTTGATCGACTTAAAAAACAATATAGATATTAACTCTAATCTTGTTTTGAACTTCCCCCGTAGAAAGGGAATAAAAGATCTGCGGCAATGTGCCCGCTGAAGCACAATTGATTATATTTTTGTAGCTAACTTCCAGGCGAATTCAATATAAACGCGTCGATGATTCTATGAATCCATGATGAAATACGCTTTTGTATTCGTTTTGATGGTAATGTGAAAGAGCGACGGTGAAAGAAATGTTTATTTATAAAAGCAACTAAAACTGACAGTTTTGTTTGATGTTTGCCTGTCAAATACATCAATTTGATAAAAATAAAATGAAAGGCAAATACTCTGAAAGTGTTTCCAATATCGCCATACCAAAATAGAAAACATCGAAATTTCAAAAAAGAAATCAGGACGGAAAGGAAAATGAAAAACAAGTGGTAATATGAGTTATTGAAATAACAACTATCACTTCAACTTTCATAAAATAAAACATTACATTGTTATTAATAAAAAAAATTGTAGGGTAAGTAACAATAATAGATATTTTTAGAGATGAAAAATTTGACAAAAGCCCTTATTCATAAAGTTCTGAATAAAGCATCTAATTTTAATGGCCCCAGGGACAATTCCAGAATAACTTAAATTCTGTAAATACTCTCCACAAGAACTCTCTTTATTATTATTATTATTATTATTATTATTATTATTATTATTTCGATTTCTGCTGTGGTCACACTACCTACAAAGTCTGCGGTCACACCTAAGGTATATAGCGATGTGTTGTTATACCTATATTTTATTATTTATTTTTCTAATTCCCATATCACTAGCGTTACATGGACGATGTTCTTCTTAGTGTGTGGGCTTTATTTATCAAGAGAATTTTTGTATCTCTCTTAAGCTGAGATTTCCAGGGAGTTTATCAATGTGTTGTTGTATTCCCTTTTTTATTATTCCAAGCGCACCTGCTATGACTGTTACCATTATTGTTTTCAGTTTCCACATTTTTTTTATTTTGATTTCCAGGTCTTTATACTTCGATTGTTTTTCAAATCCCTATGTTACAGTCCGCTGGGCAATCCCTATCAATTAGGAGGTAAGAATTTTTCTTTTCGGTTTTTGACAGTTATGTCCGACCGATTTTCACCAATCTTCCTGCCTGTAAAGATGGTGTAATCGCATAGAATTGTCATGTCTTCTATTTCTGTTACCGATACCGGAGCGTGGGGTGCTGTTCATCCAGGGTCTGGGAGGTTTGTTGTAGGGATCCTCGTAAAATTATGGTTTTATCACAGTTGTCCAAACCGAATTCTTGATGCAAGCGAGATGTTCTTATAAGTACGGACAGATGATGAGAATGCTATGGACAGGGCATCTGAACAACGAGAAATGTTTTAAGGAAAATGGGAAGAAAATGCTGCATTTCAAAAAACTCATGTTGAGAGAAAATAGCTTAGAATCTAACACTTACCGATATATTGAAGGCAAGAGAAACAGGGTAAACTGCGAATAAACTACTTAATGTATTTGTATGAATGGAGAGCAGAACCGAAATGATGAGGAATGATAAAGGATTAAAGAGAAACAAAAGACAGAAAATTGTGGAGAGTCATAAGTAATTGGTATATAAAAGATTTTTTTTAGTCATTTCATCTCAAGCAAGACAATAAAGACACCAAGATGCAATGAGAGCATATGAGAACAAAATTAAGGAAGGGGAATAATAAAAGAACAAAAATTAAGAAGACAGAAGATAAAGATTGACATTGGATTTCAATTTTTAAAGATCAAAAATTGACTGGGAAGCAAAAAACCGGAAAAGAGTTCTACAACCGAAAAGTACGAAAGAAAAGACTTTTAGTATAAAGCTTACGGTTACATCTAGCCATTTTAACTGATCTCAGAAATGACAATGTCATTATTATTAATAATAATAATAATAATAATAATAATAATAATCTAAAAAATAAATACAGCTGAGCTCAGAATGAGCAAAAAATAGGCAACATTTAGCGAGGGAGCAATCCAAAAACTGATGAAGTTTTCACCTTACAAACCAAGAACTGCTCATAATTAGAATCTATATCGTAGGATAAAAAGCATGTAATTCTATTGGATGTTCAGAGTCAAAGGAAACGCCCAGAAACATCGGAGAATTAAATTAGGAGTAACTTAAAAGCTGGATGAAACATCGAATGATGGAATTATGCCCGCCTTGATTTGATCTTTTGGTTTCGTTTATTTTATTTTATCAACATCTCAATGAATTTTTAGGATAGGTAAGTATGAATAGAATATGTATTCTCTGTAGAAATTAGTAGATCAGGTTTCATTGATGTATGTAAAGAGGTTTTTGTCGATAGTCTAATGTATTGCTGGTGATATTTTTTCCCAAAATTGTATTGCTAGTAATATTTTTCTCCAGAATGTATTGGTGGTAATATTTTTCTTCCAAAACGTATTGCGGTATTTTTTATGTATTGCTGGTATTTTTTACCATGAAATGCATTTTTATACTTTCATAGTGTTTTGAGCCCAGGTTGGGGGTTAACTATTCGCCTATAGGTGGGACCCTGATACGTGCTACACCACCGTGGACCTGGGAACAACAACTATTAACAGATGTTTCCATGCTCCTAAAAATCTCCCGATAAGAGGCCTTTCTGCCGGCTGTAGTTTATCGTCAAACCCAGGACGATTGACCTATTGGAAGGGTGCGAATGATCCGAGGAGAAAAATATGGAAAAAGAGTAAAACCCTGTAAAATTGGAGACCATTATGAAGACCGCATTATTTAAAACATTCACAATATTGAGGTGAGTGTTGGAACACTGAGGACAACATACTTTCTACTAGGAAATGTCAATGAATAGCCTACTATTGCCAGTTGATTTCTATTATACGCTTTTTTATTTAATGGTTATAACTGAGAATTATTAAAGCTTTGAATGGTGTCGCAGAGACTTTACAAATAGACTGAAAAAATTAAGATGCGAAGAAGAAATAGAATGAATCAGACCACAGCATTTTTGGCATCAGCAAAAACACTCAAGAAATTGGTGAAGAGACTCGCAATCATTTGTACTCCAAAAATAGTCAACCAATAATACTGACATGAAAAGATCAGTGATGAATATCAAACCTCAAAGCAAAATATGACGATATAATAACTGCTCTTTTTTGGATTTGCATAATAATAATAATAATAATAATAATAATATAATGTAATTTTTTTTAACTGATTCGAGCAGATCATTATTACTGGCTAGACAACTTGTGACCCGCTGGGTCACTGAAGATTCAAGTTATAAAACATTTAAGTGATTTGAACATTAAAAAAAAAATTATGTGTTTGAAGAAAGTTAAAAATACCTACTTTATAAACTATTCGCATTTTTAATCTTATTAACTTAAAAAATGTGTTTTTTTTATCAGATTAACTTAAATGTATTCATAATATGTCAAAAAATATTTTAAAATCATATTCACTTGAAAATATTTTTGAATATGGCAAAAATATTTTTTGAATATTTAAAAGATTGTTTGTTTAAAGAAAGCTGAAATCACGCAATCACAGAGGTGGAAGGAGAAAGCTGGAAAGAGAGAGAGGTGGAAGGAGAGAGAGAGAGAGATGGAAAGAGAGAGAGATGGAAAGAGAGAGGTGGAAAGAGAGAGAGAGAGAGAGAGGTAGAAAGAAACTTAAATAATCATGCGCCTGACGTATGCATGATGCACAGACTTTTAGTTTTAGATAGATAGATAGATAGATAGATAGATAGATATGAAGAGACTGAGATAGATAGATAGATAGATAGATAGATAGATAGATAGATAGATAGATATGAAGAAACTTAGATAGATAGATAGATAGATAGATAGATAGATAGATAGATAGATAGATAGATAGATGAAGAGACTGAGATAGATAGATAGATAGATAGATAGATAGATAGATAGATAGATAGATAGGAAGAAGAAAAAAGAAACAATGAGGAATGCAATAGTAGTCTTGATGGTAGTGTTAGTCATGATGATGATCGAAGTCGTGGTGATTTTGGGCGATAATGATGTTTCAGTTATTTTTTAATGTTCTTTGGTTATTTATTTATTAGTAATTTATATACATTTATTATTTTATAAGCCATACAACACAAACATTTATAATAAACTTTTATCTAAGTATTATTAGTAACCACATATGTATGGGTAAAATATATAAATAACAGGATTATGGATGTTTGAATATAGTTTCATATTATTTAACATAAGAAAGAAAAAGAGAAAAAGTCAAAGAAAATTCCGTCGGAAATTGAAGTTATGACGGGAGTCTGTTGAAGCATGCTGTGTCTCCTTGGCATCCAAACGCTTATAAATTAAGATTTTGCCGTTGATGCTAATAATAGCAATAGTAAAAAAATTAAAACAGGAGGAGGCCTGAGCCCTGAACATGATGGCCCACCATGGCATGGATATGCTCTGGCGCCCACAAACCAGCCCCCACGTATGGGTAAATACGAACTAATTATAATGCAGACACAAAGAAAAATATTGCTAACGCGCATCAATCGTCACACGAGTCAACAAGGACCGCGATCCATAGTGAGAAGCCAGACTGGGATCGAAAAATCTGCAAATGGAACAAACTCTACTCAACAAGAATTAGATGAAAACCACACCGAGGACAATCCTCAAAGAAACCCTCTATATTAATTAAAAGTAAATTCCACAAAAAGAACAATGAATAAATGGTCCAGGAAAGACTCTATTGAAGCAATGTTAGCATTTTACACCGCTACGATAAATCCGACAACAACGCCTGAAACCGCCTATAATATCTGGCGAGAAAACACACCTCAAACAGACTAAACATTGATGTCAACAAAGTAGCCAATATCAAGCGTAACACTATCAGAAAATATCTGACATAGAATCAAAAGCATCCGAGAAAACATCAAAAACAGATTAAACATTAAGATCAAGGGGCTAAATGCCATCAACCCAGAGGAAAAAAGATGGAAAAACCGATGAACCTGACAGAAATTAAACATCTTATATACGCGGCCTCGGCAACTGTCGCAGAAACAATAGTTGAAAAAGTAAAACCACGACATAAGCGAAAATGAATAATGGCAGTCGGGAAAGAAAAAATAGAAATTGAAATAAATAAACTCGGAGGGCAATTGTCACTTCTGAGTGAAGTAGAAAAGAGTTCCAAAATGAAAGAAAGAAAAGGGAGACAACTGAAACCAAACCGTGACATAAACAATAAGATGTCGTACCAAAAGTTAAAGTGAATCTGAGACAACAAATTCAAGCTAAGGCACAAAGAATGAGAAGTTCTGAAAAAAAAAAAGAAACAGATTCTTCTGGCAAAACAATATCTTCAAAGATGATGTCAAGAAACTATATCGAGAACTCTGAACAAATAACATAGAGATAAATGACCCCAGCTAATATCCAGAAAGTCAAGAAGTTCTGGTGTAAGATGTCGGAAAACTTCAAAATGCATAATGAAAGGGCTACATGGATCAAGCAACATCAAGAACAACAGACACATATGGAATGCTAAAAATGGACAGGTATCAATATTACTGAAACAACCGCTGTCATTTGCAAAACCAAAGACTGGTAATCATCAGGAATAAATCGAATATCCATTTTCTAAGTTAAAAAAAAAAACATATCTAGCACACACTAACACCCCGGCATACAATTATATAATCCTAAACCCAGAAAAATACCCCAAATGGCTCACCTAGGGAGTAATATACTTACTCGCAAAAACAGAAGAGCCACAGAAACCGAATAACTATAGACCCATTACTTGTCTACCAGAAATATACAAGATCTTCACTTCTATCATCACCGAAAGACAAAAAACTTCCTTGAGAAAAACAATTTACTCCCAGCTGAACAGACGGAATGTAAAAGATGAAGGTACGGATGAAAGGACCAACTAATTATCAATAAAAACAATATTGGAAGAGGGGAAAACAGAGAAAAGAAGCTTATCTATAGCATGGATCGACTACAGAAAGGCGTTCGCCCCAACTCATGGATAGTGAAAACCTAAAATTATATGGAGTATGCCGCACAAGCTTCAAATTTATAACAGCGAGCATGAAAAGATGGAAGACTACACTAAACCTAAACCATACAATCGGGTCATTAGCATCGAGATCAATCAATATTAAAAGCGGGATCTTCTAAGAAGATTCATTGTTACCACTACACTTCTGCCTTTAATTAGCGCCACTCAGCTGCCTACTAAACAACAGTAGCTACGGATATACTTCAGAGAATTGTAAACCGAATCACCTATTCAATATTGATGATCGTAAAACGTTTGCCAAAGATGACAACCAACAGAAAAGCCTACTCACTATTGGCGAAACCTTCAGCAAAGACATTAAGGTGCAGTTCGCAATCGACAAATGTGCCAAAGCCACCTTCAAAGGTGGTAAATTAACGAAACCTACAGATTTAGACGTTGATATCAACAAGTTTAAGGAATTAAAAAGATGATACATAGAAATACTATGGAATTAATGAAGGAGACGCAATACAACATTCAATTATGAAGAAAAAGATCCAAAAAGAATATTACGTATGATACTATAAAGGGTATTTCAATAGGAGCAATAAAATGATGGCTATCAACACATTAGCTATATAGTAACATACAGCTTCAATATTATTAAATGGAAGTTGAATGACATTAAAAGAATAGAGAACAAGACCAGAAAAATGCTTACGCAAATGGGGATACACCACCCGAAGTCAGATGTTGATAGACTGTACGTACCAAGAGCTTTAATAGGCAGAGGTCTAATCTAAAAATTACAACAATCGGATTGGAAGCCTACCTTACAAATACCAATGACCCTCTCCTATAAAAAGAAAAATACTAAATCCGCTCCATCAACAAAGACGAAGCACACTTCAATAAAACAGCTTAATATACCTGAAACCTAGCAACCAGAAACTAAGCGAAAGTCAGACAGAAAGCAAAACAATTTGATCAAATTAAATTACAAATAAACTACGTCAACGCATTGCATGGCAAATGCCTAAAAAGAACGAAAGAAGCAGATGTGGACCAACAGAAAACACATTAGTGGCTGAGGAGCACCGGATTGAAAGCTGAGTCCGAAGGCTTAGTTATTGCAGCTCGCAGCCAGATATCACTGTCACATAATTAACAATGAATCTAACCCGAAACGCAGGATCTGAACGAGTAAATCATTTTACAGGAAACTACGAATGTTGGAAATGGATTCAATCAAGCAATAGATTGAGGTAAAATGACATAAAAAATACATCAGAGTAACAATGAAATTATTTCAAACTAGAATAACCAGTCGAAATATGATCAAAACTATAAGAATATTATGGCAAAAATTGAAATAGGATTTGCTAGAAATGATAATTTTGCCGATTCTGCTATCAAAGATCTCGAATATTGGATGAAGGAACGTAATGAAAGATCTAATATCTCCACCAAAATTTATGCTATAAGTGGAGAAATTCTTCTTTTATATGCCGTGTTCCTTCAGGATGTAGGCGATCATGGCCCACCACATCTTCCTTGTCCTTTGTACCATTAGCATAAGTTTTGTCTTTTTGCAATGTATACCAATTCCTGCTGTACTATTTACTCAAGCTCATTAAGTATGCCACGTGCTGTTTTCTTCCGTTCCTCTTTCCGTCAATCTGTCCTGTGTGTTTCAGATTTCCCAAGTTCTTCATCCTCATTATGTGCCCCAGAAATTTCAACTGCTTCTTCCTAGTGTTAATTATGTTTTCTTTCGTTTCCATTTTCTCCAAAACCTCGTTTTTACTCACATATTCGGTCCATGGTATCATCAGCAACTTTCTGCATAACTACATTTCTGCTAATTCATGTCTCTTCCTGATCTTTGGGGATATTGTCAAGCATTGGCTGCCATACAAGAGGACAAACATCACGTAACAGTTCAATACTCTTTTCTTTCTTTTTTCCAACGAAATTTGTTCTGTCTCTTAATACTTTACTTAGTGGAGAAATAGAGGATAAAAATACCAAACCTAATCTCAGGATTTAGTGTAAAACAACTACACAGATATTTCATATTTTAAAGCATCTTAATATTAAGATCAACATGGCTATAAAATGGTATAAGGAGAAATAACAAAATTAAACTAGCAATAAGTAAAATAACAAGTTGAGTTCAAGAAAAGTACAAAAGTAGGGATCAGAAATGTGATTTACTGTGACTTGTGCAAATGTCTAAGTGTCCACCATGCACACAAACAATACACTGACACACGAATTACGTGTGTTGCATGGTATGATGTAGGACCCCCTCTAAATCAACTAAGTGTAAAAATTTTACAATATTGATTTCAGCAGTGACCAGATGACCACTGGAGAAATACTGAAGCGTATCATCCCGATAGTTTTCCGCACTTTCATGATATTTATAAGTGCAGGACCTTGCATGCGAATATATCTCGTCACGATATCACATTAATAATCGATTGGCTTTTTGGGTGGCCATAGTGGGAACACCATTTGTTGTAAATCTCTGGAAACTCCATAATTTGATTTTTGAAATCATGGGTCAATGAGAAGGAGCTGTTTGGGTCATGATAATGGTATTATTAGCCGTTTCCTTATTCATTGCCCGATCAGCCATAAAACATTTCTCTTTCAGGAAAATATATATATTTTTTTAACTCGATTAACTGTTATCTCTCTTTCCAGTAATGTTGTCGGTTTCCCTCCCAACCATTTTTGAAGTAGTGAGGAACTTCAATATCGTGATTACGCCATTATTTTCTCTTGGATTTAAATGTGACATCCATTTTAGTTGTTGCTGCTGTTGAAAGTCAACAACCGATGTTGTTTCTCTTAATTAGTACAGCTATTTTTGTGATTTTATAAAGCCAGCCTACAAGGTTTGTAGAAGTAGAATCAGTCTATAAGTTATGTTTAATTACGAAGAATTGAAATGTTGCACTTACTT